AAAACAAAACAAACCCAAAAACAGTATCAATAACAGAACTCACGCGAAAAATCGTGGGCAATTTATCACCACTAATGCCTGGCATTTGTCTAACAATAACTGAAATACATTGTTTTCTGATTATTTGACACAACATCTGCTTCCTAAATGCATTTTTCTTATATTAATTGATTTAATAACATTTTGAATGTTTTAATTTCAAGGTAGATTAGGGAAAAAGAGACAGGTTGCGTGACGTGAGAAGTGGTAGACGCTCTCCAGGAGATACGTACGATAGCTTATCTCTGATAACCTGACAAACAAGTAAGAACGTACGAAGTCCGCTTCGTTTACATCGCTGATAAAAGAGTCTACTAAGTACCGCAAACCACGTACTGCTGGTTGAGGGCTTTGTACGGACACCAAGCCAAGAAACAGTATTAGGTTAAATAGCTTTTTTCTAGGGAGAACACAATGTGTAAATAAACTATTTTTGCTGAGGGACCACTTCAGAGATCTGTTGCTTGGCGAAGAATACAATAACGGTTTTTACAAAGAAAGTGTATCAAAAAATCTTGCTATATCAGTGTCTTTACAATTGGAGTGAAAAGAATTACTTTTTGAAGATGATCTTGCCAAAAGGCGCTTGGAACTTGAAAGTATGTTTGGAAATTAAGCCAAACTACATGTATGGAATTGTCGAGCGTGTGTGGAGTTTTTTCATCAATAACAAATTGAATGCGAAATATGAAGAAGACTGTATTCGTTTCGTTTCTAATCCAGGCTTCAATTCCTTGAACCTGTAGATAAATGAACTATAAATCGCGTAAGGACCAAGCCAAAGAATTTGACATTACTGAATATAAGTAATCATACAAAAATATTTTTATCGAAGTATATTTCTTTACTTAATCGCAAAATAATCGTGTATCAAAAACGTGTTACCATTCCCAAGATCCGTCAAACTTATAGATTTTTGGTAGCAGTTTTGTAGATGAAATGCCACAATGACCATGTCAAAATTTTGACCTTTAAAGCAATACAGAACATATTTTTAATACGTGCTTTGTTTTAATCTTAACGATAAAACTCGAAATAAAGAAAATACTTTTACAGCTATGCCTTCGGTTGGACCAACCCGAAGCTTTTGTCTTGACACCGAATAATTCTGCCCTGCGGTAATTTACTTCACCTTTTTGCAAACCTTAATTTCTTACCAAAGACAAATTTCCTTTTATTTTTCTACCACTTTTTTTCGATTGCTTTTCGCTATGAATTTTGAGTGTTTCTTTTTTGAACAGACGTTCCACGTTTGCCGCCAAAAAGTATAATACTACGCAAGTAAATCCTCAAACCACGTGACACCCGACGATTTGGCTTTGTCTCCGAAAATATTTTCTGAAGATCAGTACAATGCTCCTTTAATTGTTATGGTTATGATCATGTTTCTGACATACAAATGTATTTTGAACTCCTTATAAGTAGTATGGTACCGCTCAAGGAATTCCTCAAACCATGTGACACCCGACATTTTGCTTTGTTTTCGAATATCCATTCGAAGGATGTTGGGATACTGCTTTCGATATTGTCACTCAGAGCACTATTGATTATAGGATTCAACGTGACTTGAAATCCCGCCAAGTAGTAAAGAAATAGCTTAGACCACGTGACTAGATAACTATGTCCCATCATTTAGCATATAATAACTAAAATGTCTAAAATGACTATCAAATACCTAAAGGTTAAACTTTCAATTTTTAGTTAAAAACAAACATGGCAGTCAATAACGACACTTCCTTTTTAAAGTAACGTAGGCTATTTTAAGAATCCTCGGCTGGGGAACATTTACAATTCTATTGTGAAGCTATGACGTCATGGAATTAGTCATTCATGTCGGAGTAAGTTTCTTACGAGATTAGCCGTTAAAAATCCCTGATCACAAGCTCTCAATGATCTTCGTTATCAATTTCCTGATATTTTGGTAATGCAAAAAGTATGAACCAGTCTTGAAAGAGAGTCGATTTCAGAGGCGTCTAGATGGCTTTGCGCGATGTTTATCATTACTTATCGTTAAAGAAAGATTTAAGAAGGAGTTCGATATTAATTTCTTTACAAACAACCTTCCTCCTCCTCCTTGAACTTCATGATCCACGAGATAGGACGTGAGATAATCCAACATAATACTGCGAAGGGAGCCTTAGGGTCAACACCATACTCACTAGATTATGTCGGTTAAATGTACGCCAAAGCAGATATTTTATAAATTTTTAAATATAGTTTTGTGGTGGTGAATATCTCTGAAACCTTAGAACGGCTTTGCGTAAACTGTTAATTGATGTTGGATCTGCAAAACAGCAAAGTAGGTTTCTTCAAAGAATGTAATAGATATCGCCCTTTGAAATGATAGAATACGTTAATAAGCCATCATTCAATTTATGCATATTTAATGATCCGCGCTTTAGGGCAAGAACACGGATTGAATTATTCATTGTATTTTTTTTTTTTCTTACTAAACTTCAATTATACATAGAAAATAAATCCAGACAAAAGAGCAGTGCAAAAAATCAAATCTTCTAGTAGTTGTAATCCAATTATCATTCATAATTGATCAATGTGTGTTTTCACGTTGGAATATTTTCATCATCTATGACGGTTAATAGAGGATAACTGTTCCCTAATGGACATACTAATAACCCAAACTTCTAAATATAGAACAGACCAATCAAATGAAAAGGGAGAGGAAAAGAGAGAGGATATTAGTTGTCACCACTATACGAACGTTATTCATCGACTAGGGAAAAGATGATATTTTCTGTGGAAGCCAGACGCGAATTTTTTTATTTAAAATAAGGTTTCTGTTATGAGTCAAGTCTCCGAGACAAGGAGAGAGTTGCACAAGTAATACTGATTCTTAACGCCTTCTATAAACAGAAAACATTGTTGAAACTGATAGAATATCATAATGTTGCATTTGTTTTTCGTTTTGTCCTTGAATGCAAACATCTATTTTTCATTATTTACATTAAGTGTAAGGGTACTTTTTCAATGCTTAGCATCTTTTGATAGGTTGAGTTGATCCAACYAGACGAAACAGCCTTTCATTAAAAGCAAAGCAAACAACACATACTTTTTCTCAAAAAAGACAAGGGAGATTAGTATTTTTTTTTAAAAGCATAAGTAAAGGCAAAATCATCAGTAGCTGCTGATATATTGAGTTACAAAACGTTTGAAATGATAAAGGTGCCAAAAAGGTTTGGAACAATTTCTGGAATAGTAAATTGATGTTTGTTTATTTAATTTATTCTATTCCCCCTTTTTTCGAAGGATCTTCATTTGTCTATCTGTCAACACTCTTTCAAAGACTGACAAAAATTACGTCCAGAAGAAAAAGCGGAATGAAAGATTAACACACGCTAAACACGCAAGGAAATTTGCTAGAATGATGCTACATACACGGCTCCGAAGTCAAACACCGGAGATTTCACCTGCAATTATCTCGTAGTGATGTAACAGAAAATTTTGATTGGTTGCTGACCGAATAAGATTTTAATGAATAAGAACATTTGAGACGTGAATTAATATATACACTTATGCTTAATAAAGGCCTCATTTCAGTCTCGGCTCGTTCATTTGGTAGTTTGTGTTTTTGTGGATGGGTCAAGTGGCTTATTTACCGTGGCTCTTTCGGCGCTTTGAATTTCCCGAGATATTGAAATATCTAGATAAATGGATCTTGGTTTAGATGACCATTTAGTGAGCACCGATGTGGAAAAGACTTCAAGAAGCCTCGCTCGTCAATACTGATATAAACAGAGCAAGAGATTTTGAATCGTCAGTGGGTGAGCAGCTACCGCGGACGACAAACGAGAAAGTTGAACGCCGTTACCACTCGAGTTGAAACCAAACATTAATGCTGAAAAATCAGATGGCACTCGATAATCAGACCCTGGCCAATGGAGTTCTTCATTCGTCAACAAACAGGTCCTTGGTTGAACGTAATAACACATTACATGGCAACATGGATGATAGTTTTCGTGTCCCTCTATCGCTGATGTCTTGTGGTGTCGTGATAGGGAATTCTCTAGTCTGCGCTCTGTTTTGCAAGTTCCGTAAACTACGAACAATTACAAACTCGTTTGTAGTGAGTTTAGCTGTATCAGACAGCCTGGTGGCAGTTCTTTTTGTTCCATGTTTTCTTCTCGACGGCCATGTTCCATTTTTTGCTCTCATAGTGCCCTACATTATTGGCTATATTCTTTTTGCATATCTTTTTAATTTCTGTGGAGTTACTTACGACCGCTACCAAGCCATCGTGAAACCGCTTTCGTACAACTCCAGGATCACTCGCTCCGCGGTGAATAAGATTTTAACGCTAGTATGGACCATTCCCATGGCGTTGACTCTCATCCCAACAACTTGGGAAACTCAACCGACAAAGATTTTTACACTTGCAAAACGAAGCTACCAAGGATTTTTAATTTTGGTGGTGACAGCTTGTTCTGCAGGTATTTTGGTGGCATACTCCAAGATCTTTCAAGAAACACGTCGACAAGTTAAATGGATGGTCGCCGTGGGGGTTCCTCAAATCCCAGCGGCATTTGCCGAGAAAAACTCACTTCGAGGGGACAATTCAGGGATAAAACGAATGAATAAGTCACGGAAAATCTCCATGAACATTGCAGCTGAGGTCAAAGCCGCAAAAGTTTTTGCAGTTTTAATGATCACTTTCTCAGTATGTTGGCTTCCTCTCATTGTTATTAACATCATTGAAGCTCTTGGCTTCCAGAAAAGTGTTCCTGAAAAGTTAATTGTGGTCTCTCTTTACACCCTGGTAGGCAACTCTTTAATTGACCCATTTATATATTCGTTGTACAAAACTGATTTTCGAAGAGCATTCAGACGTTGGTTTGGTTGTAAAGGTGCTCAACACAGTGACCATGAATTCACTAGTAATTGCAGTAATTTATTTGGAAGGGATTCTTATCGGCCTCCCAAGCCCACTCAATCTCCTATCAAGAAAGGAAGCACTTTACCCGAACCGTTAAATCAATCTTTCAGCACGGAAACTTTTGTTTGACAGTAGCGAACTGAAATGAATTTAAATATGACATTTACGGTTCATAAAGTTACAAACCGCAGCCCTTTTAGACAAACTATATAACTGGCAGTGAGTTTAAAAACAAGTGCACAGTAGCCTATCTCGGGGACTGTATTTTTGAGCCTGTACTTGTTATAATGTTTAATATGAAGCAAAAGTATTTTGATGTAAAAACACAGAGCAAGAAAATAGCCTAGTAAAAGCTAGCCTGAAGAAACAACCTAAGAAAGTTTATATGTGGTTTTTGAATATGTTATCTTTGTGTTTTGGCGCAGTGTTTTCTTTAAATGACAGAACGAATGCTAATCAAATCTTCAAAGGCAATAACGATACGTTATTCAATATAAAAACAATGAACTTAACTAATATCGAATGACCTGAAAAATAACACAAATGGCGACAAGGAGAATTACGATTACAGAATATTTTTTATTTATAGGATGTAAACGTCGCGAAATTCGGTGGTATATCAATCTCACATTTCATGAAAGGGCTATAAACGCTCTCTTAGTAAGCTTGATATTTGGTTTCAAGCTTTATTGCCCACGTTTTAAATATTCTAATATCTATGAATTTTAGATGCGGCCTCTATAAGGGATGTTTGAAAGCAAAGGAAAGGTCAATAACTTAAACCATCAACTTTAATCAGTCGCTCGTCCAAAAATTAAAATTAAATTTAAAGAATATGACCGGTGTTAGCGAAGGAATAATAATAAAGGGGAAAAAAATTTAAATGCACCGAGGCAATAAAGCAAGAATAATATTTCAATAAATGTCTTTTACGAGACGGTACAAGATTAATAATAAGCTAACACGCTAAGGTAGAACATAACATATCTCTAAGATCTGTCATATTGTGCAAATATTGGAAAATCAACTCAACGTTTCGAAATCATTGCCCCAATAAAATAAAATATGCTGCTTTTTTCCCCATAAAACGGATTGAGAAAAAATGAAGACAAAATTGAAAAGAATGTGGTTGCATGGTGTACGGTAAAGTAAGAAAAAAAAAAKAAAAAAGAAAAAAAAATAAAGATTACGAGTTTAAATCATACTATAAGTTGCATTTGATTTTTTAGGGTGTATGTGTGTCGTTTGAGATTTTGGAAATCTTTTCCATCCATCGTCTACCAACTTGCTGAAATAATCTCATTTCCACGTATGAGTTAATACATAGTTTTGCCACTCCAGTACACTTTAAAAAAGGATTTATACAGATTGAATCGTATGTGACAATTTGATCAACTTAGAGCAGAATTATTTCCAAATCTTCAATCAAACGATCTGACATTTTCATCGGGTGAGTGTCGCGAATACCGGAAAGCTTTTCTTTGCTTTCCATCAACTTTTGTGCAAATTTCGGAAACGTTTTTAATTTGACAGAGATCAAAATGTTTGAGATGTGACAGTTATAATTATTGCAAACTACTCTTTCTCTTGGCCCTCTAACCACAAGCGAAGACTCAACAGCTACTTCTTTTATTAACTCCATCCGATGCTCAAAGACATCAGCATTACAAAGGCCTTCTCGCTTGCACTAATTGTTAAAACCCGTTCTCTATGCTAAACATCAATCTTCTCCCATAACCGGTTTCATTTACTCTCATTGTCTGTTTGCTATCAAATACAATAAGTCGGTAGCGAAGCAGCTCAAGGCTTCACGCCTAGTTTAGAGTAATTTTCTGAAATATAATGAGATTTGTCAAAGGTTTTTGGAATCCCTTTACTTTTCATGATCATAAGAGTATCGCTCAAGGAAGCGCTGACTGATGTTCTTATGGATTTAACTGGTTTAAGCATCTCTTTTTTCCTAATCTAAAATCCTTTAAAACTCTAAGAAAGCACGCATATGAATTTTTCGTTTTGTTTGAAGAGAAACTGACTTACATTGATCCAAGGACGGAAAAAATAAATCCATATGATGATTTACAAGTAGCAGCAAAAATAGGATAAGCAAAGAAATGCGAAATTTAAATGATTTTTTAAAGATCGGAAGCGAAAGAGAAAAAGATAAATGCAAAAACAAAAGAATTGAAACAAGGATTTTCTAAGAATAAATTACAATTAATGCTTGTTTTATGATTGTTCAGTAATCTGATCGATAAATAAATCGAGGCCTGATATGACACTGTTCTGTTTGGCATTTAAATCATCATTTCACTCTGCGTTTTGGTTCCTTTTGTTAACTATTCATTAAAAAAAAACTGTTTTGTTCTTACTTAACATGAAAAAGATGTCTTGAACTTTCGCCTCTCTCTCTCTCTCTCTCTCTCTCTCTTTTTCGAGCCATCATCTTCACTGAACTTAAATATATGACATAACAAACTACAAAATACCAAACGAATAAATCACAAATTGATATACACCTACTTGCAAGAACGTTGTCATACGAAAATAGAACATTAGTGATTTAGTGGGATAGGAACTATGTATTCCTTTCTCACTAAATTACTAATGTTCTAATATCGTATGACAACGTTCTTGCAAGTAGGTGTATGTAAGCTTTGCATTCTTTTTTGAAATCGCCGGTATATATATGTATTTTCAGTTGTTTTTAAGCCTGTTACAAAATCTGTACGATAAAATGTATATATGATATATATTCATGCATTACTAACGTTAAACATTTTGCCGTTGAATAATATATATGTATTATACAACGGTACCATGGTGCCATGGTGAAAAGTCTCATTACGTATATCCTAGAACAACTTGGTAAACATTTTTTGTTGATTTACTATTGAAATCGCTATCCTTCGTATGTATACGAAGTTTTAGGGACTTGAAATTCCTAGTGATAGACAACTCGAAAAAATATCATGTAGGATTTCTCGTATTTTTTGATATGCTCTAGATATACTTGTATATATGTAGAAAAGGGTCAAAGTTTTTGCATATGGCTGTAATATAATCTACACTGAAAGAGAAAAAATTTCCGTTTACAACATATATATATGTCTATTGTTTTCGAGTTCAAAACAAGAGGTAAACAAAAGACATATATTATATGTGTTGCAAACGTAGAATTTTCTCTTTCATATGTTATATATTATATATAATATCAGGTATATATAATATAAATATTTATATACAATATAATCTATATATAATAAATATTCATGCTTTGCTAATGTTAAACATTTTGTGTTGAACAAGTTATTGTAATATGTATGTCAGTTTTACAACGGTACCGCAAAAACCCCTTTTGACCAGATCTCGAAGCCTATTTCCTCGCGATTTTCTATAATTACCAAGTCTGCATTGAATATTTCCCTTCTAGAAGATCGATGTCCAATTTAATTTCTCGAGTGTCTTTCAATCCTTATCAATAAGTAACTGCTCATAACGTGAGGTATACTTAAACCTGTTTAGATTATATTATAGCTTACTGCTGTCATGGAAAGAGAAAAAGGTCGCGTAGCGTCGGCTCCTGCTCTTTAATCTCCAGAGAAAACTCTATTTAAAACGATATGATGGGCTAATTCAATCACTGACGGATTCGTCTACGTTACGGAAGCATGCAGTATAGATATGCTGAACGACTTACACAAAGCAATAGAATGGCTTTGTATTTTGTAATAATGCCTGGGAAACATGGAGTTTTGAATTTAAAAAATGTACTTTTGAACCGATCGACTAATAATGCAATAGGCTGATAACTGTGATTAGGAATATTTGTTTCATTCATTACAGGAAGTTATTGCCAGGGTGAAGATCATAAAGCCGAGGAAGAAGTGTCAAAGAAAATAAATGAAAACTACGTACGTTTCCATTTATAACTGCTTGCTAAAAACTGACGATAGTGCCAATCACCATAGCAACCCGTTAATCAAAACTTTTGATATCTAGTCAGTCAACAGACGAACAAATTATTCACTATGGTAACTAATCAAGCAATGATTTAATTGCTGGATAAAAACCATGGAAATCAGTAAAGCGAAATAGATGGAAGTGACTAAATAAGGTAGTCAATTAGTTTCGCCACAGGAAAAAAAAAAAAGTATTCTAATAGTTTGAAAAAATAACCTAAATAACCTAATTCCTTTTTCACGCCCGGTTACTTTACTATCAAAGGAAACTAAACTCAATAGTAATAATTACAAGAAGGAAAAAAAAAAAGGATCAAACCAACTACTTGCTAATAAGTGGTCGAGAAATGTTCTAAATGTATTCTAAATATAGTATATGATATTCTTGTTATATATATATATATATATATATACGCTTGATTGCAGAAAGGTTGTAGTATACATTTATACAGATACCTAATGAGATGCAAGATATCAAATGAGATGCAAAACTTAAAAAGTAACTTATTTGGTCTTATTTGTAACTTATGGCCATAAGTATTGCACAAAGTCAAGTTAAAAAAGTGCTTTCCACAAAATGTAGTAGATAAGCAATTGTATTTAAGCATGTTTTGAATTCTGCATCTCATTTGATATCTTGCATCTCATTAGGTATCTGTATAAATGCATACTACAACCTTTCTGCAATCAAGTGTATATATATACATATAACATAGCGGGTATCAAACTTTTATCCTGACAAATCGTGAATCGTGCTTTATTCCTTTGTTAATCTACTTATAAACCTACTGGGAATTTCAATATATTTTTTCCACTCATATTAATGTTTTTTCCATTACTCATATTACTTTGCTACTTGGGGGAAAAACACACTTGCTGAAGAATGATCAGACGATTCTGAAAATAGATATTTTTTTGAAGAACAAATAAACGCTCAGCACTTCTTCGTTAGTCGATATATACAGTAAAACAAAAACCAGCCAGGTACGAGGAGCATCTAATTGAATAAAACTTAATATGTTGTTGACAGCTTTTTGACCGGTTACACCTCCCCCTCAAGGTTATTGTATGATAACAGTTGAAAGTAATTTGTACGAAATAATAGTCAGTCTTTCTTGGTCTATCACTTTGTATAGAACTCTTTACTTTCACACCACTTCGTATCCATATTCACGTGTTTTTTCATGCGCAACTGTTAACCAAAGAAATAATACTCTATTAGGAAATGACATGTGGTCTGGAATGGGGAAAATATTAAAGCGATCTATTAGTATACGTAATTTGTCAGTATATAAACTCATGTGCGGCACCGGCATTAACTAATTGCAGGAATAAATTCCAATTGTCAATATGTCTGGCTTTTCCAGTCATGTTATGTCTAAAGAAAGAAAAAGGCAGTGTAGGAGTGAAATGGTTATCAAGAGGCTTTCAGCTGAAGAGGGTCTTTATAATGAGCTGAAAGGTGTAATTATTATATTTTCTTTTAAAAGGTAGTTGTTGACATGAAGTCATATATATAAATATATATATATATTCCTTAAATGGGGAAGAACGTGGAAGAGATACTGGCTTGTGTGAAGTGAAGTGTTTCGCTATACATATGCACTGGAAAAATAGTTAGCGCTACAAATAATGGTAGTTGCCACTTCCAACGTATTTCCATACCATGAAATTTAAAAAAATGAAATATTATGAATGTCAAGAAAGCGTGTGTCATTTTGCACGCGTGATTTCTATTGCATGGAAATATGATGGAAGTCACCACTTTTAACATATTCCATACCATGGAAGTCGGGAAATGATGGAAATATCATGGAAGTCTCTTTGATATTATATGAAAATACCTTGGAAGTCTTGGAAATCGCGTCTCAAAAAAAAAAACAAAACAAAACAAAAAAAATCCCCCAACCCCCTCGGTATACTAAATGAACTTTCCTTAAATGTATATAAAAAATAATATTGATAAAATGATTGTTCAGAGGGATGCGCCAATCCCAATTATACATGTGGTTTTCAGGGGGTTCCTCCAGAACTAAAAATAATAATAAACTACATAAAATGCAAAATACACAGTTAATAAGCTAAATATATTGTTAAGGCGCGATTACATGGAGCAATTGATCTTTGCAACTTGTCTCGCAACGGCGTTGCGACACAGCTGTTGCAACGGTGTCTACACGGTTCAACGGAGATGCAATCGTTGTCAAAAGTAGAAATGAATTCTACTTCTCACAACGATTGCTGCGATTTGTCTCGCAACATTTTTCAAATTGCGCTGTAGGTTACACGCTGCAACGCTCCATGCAACTTGCTTCGCAACGCCGTTGCGAGACAAGCTGCATAGAGAAAATTGCTCCGAGTAATAGCGCCTTTAAAATATTACAACAAAAACAAATAAAACAAAAATAAAATAAAACGAAAGATCAAACAAAGATCTAAGTTCGGATGAAAATAAGAAGGCGAAAAAAAGCACTCTTAATAAAAGGTGGGAATCGAACCCACGTCCACCGACTCAGTGATTGGATAATTAATACCAAAATACAGAAGAAAAAAATAGTGCCTTCATGCCATACCCCGAGACATCAGCTGGGTCATCGTATGGACTTCGGACATGACGGCGATTAAGGCCCTCTGCCCTTGGGTGTACSGATTACGCAGGATAGTGTTCTAGCCGAAGCATCAGGGGAGAGACTAGCCGGCCCCCAGACCATATCTACAGCTAATCCCTTGCACTCTGCCACGCACTGGCACGTTGATTTAAAGTGGAAAATAATCTAGTCTATCTGGTGCTTTGTCTTCCCAGAATGCTTTGGAAAGCCTGTGAGCAAAAGATAAGCATGCACCCATTTTCATGTATTCGATAGCATATTTCTTTCGAACTTTTTTTTTCGAACTTTTTTCTTAATAAAGTACTAAGTATCATCATTTTCGTTCCGCCTATTTTTGAATGCATTCTTATTCTAAAGATTCACGACTTTATTTAAAACTAGCAATTAACTCATTAACTCGTTGTATCGATTCAAGATGTATTTTTTATTCCTAAAGGGGAAGCGTCAGGCTATAGATGACAATRCCGTGCTAAAAAGGACTGCAATATCATTCCCATCACATGCAAGATAGATCTCTGAAAGTTTTTAATTCGCGTTTTAGAGAGAGTTTATCCATAGCACAGCACCCAAAGTTATTTCCAATATTGCCCATTGTTACTAGCTTCTCTGTAAGTCAGCTATTTGTGAGAAACAGTCATAGTTCAGAAGTTCATAGTTTAGGCAGATCTCAGATATTGCTTTCTATACGGAGCAAACAATTTTGAAGTATTGAAGAAAGACCTAAATGTACTTTTCTAGGGATTAGCAATGAGCTACCTTAAAGTATATTGGTATGATTGGCCATATAAGTGTTTAATAGGGCAATATAAACTGTGAGATCTGAAAAGCCTATAATGAGTTTTTAGTGTAGTTTTCTTTGTCTTAGGTTTGTTTATAAGTGTTCTATAGCTTTTGTTTCACTCGTTTCAGTCTAAGTATTTTCGTCATTGTTAGTCTTGTCCCTTAGGAGCTTTTGTACGCCTTAAATATACGCCCTTTATGTAAATACTTAGCTGGTGCTCGCAGTTCGTCCCTTCATACACAAATGTAAGTTATTCGTTTCCATATATTTCTTATCGTTTTGCAGTTTAATGTTTCGTAGTTTTTCCTATTTGTTAAAATCATATTTACTAAGTTATTTATCTATTTAATATATTTGTCTAGTCTTTACCGTACGCTAAGCGTATGACTTGGGAATAAAAATCAAGTATGGGACGCGCAGTGCCAACATAAACAGTGCACGTGAAGTTGGCAGTCATACAAATGAATGGAATAAGATAGGAAGCTTTAGAGAAAATACATCATTCCCTTGACAAAAAATTAGTGGGCATCAACTTTTCCCCATTGCTGACTACTGCAGTGAACTCCACAAAGCGAATTTATTTAAATTCTAGAATAGAGTTCTTAATATTGATAATCCGCGTAGGAAGAGTATATTCTTATATTTGTTTTGTATTGTTTTTTGATTGATTGTCTCTTTTGTTAGTTCGCTGGTTTTTTGTTTCCATTCAACAGCATATATATATATATTGCTTACTTTGTTAATTTTTGCTTTTTTGTTTTAATCTGACTTGGATATCAAGGAAAAGACAAAATTCAGGATTAAAAAAATATAGTTTTCAGACATTACTTCCGATCTGGCAACCTTTGGACATTATAAAATCTCATAATCACCTTTGAAGCTGTAGTGATTATCGTCTCAGTGCTACTGATAACTAGTACTTTCAATTTCTATTCATTAAACCTGAAACAATCTCAAAGATCAAATTTTCATTTAACTGATTAGGTTTTGCCATTTTTCTTGATATTCTAAATATTTAGTTTGATTCCGAGTGAAACAACTGTTTTCTTGTATTGAAAAAATGGTTGTCAACGCGCCGTTGTATCTGCTGTCCAATGATATTGCAGCGATAAGAAATACGTGACAGAAATTAGATGCGTTATAATTTGCGGTTTAAACTCGGTTATCTCTCATCTTGAAGCTAGAAAGAGGAAGAAAGAGAGAGAACACGCCAACAAGGAACAGAAGTCGTAAATTTAATTATCAAGGTGAGTTTAATTTACTACTCTTTGAGGTGCAACCCGCGAAGCTTGATGTCTCGCTCGCCGAAAAGCATTTGAACGACAGCCAAAAATCAGCCTGAAAATCAATCTAAAATCTCCCTCAAGAAATGTTTGAAATATGTTGAAATATGCTAGTTGGTAAATGAGAAATCTCTTCAATCTTCTCTTGTCGCACTTCATGGTAGCAAACCTTAATATTTAGCCTCTTTTATATTTTGATGTTTTTTTTCTTCTTCTTTTGCGTTACATCGCAAAAATCTGAAGTTATTCTTTCAGTCCATGCGAAAGTGGCCTATGTGCAGATGAACGTACGTCCGGCTGCACGCAGGCTATGCCAAGTAGATCCACAATTATCCTTAATAAACAGAAAATCAATTCTGAAAATATCTCCCTCGATCCACGTGTTGGATCCATAGGTGCTAGCGCAAAATATATCCACTAAGTATCACGAAAGAAGAGATTCGTGTTGAATTGATGACCTTAAATTAACTGAAAAAGCTTTAGTTTATCAAGATCAGGTGTTAGCATAGTTAATTAAATTTCGATGCGTCAAAGATAGAGGGTAGACTTTCTATTCACTATTAACAATTAAAATGAAAAAGTATTGTATCCGAGGCCGAACTATCAATCAATATACATAATGTACATAATAAGCAGATGTATACTTAGTAAATAAACCTCCTATGGTGGCTGAGATATTGGCTGATAATGTCTGAGGATTGGAAATTATATGTGATATCTTTTCGAGGACATGCAGGAATATGTTTCATCCGAGGACATCATCAGCCGATATTCCATTGCGCCCAAGACGGAGCTTATTCCTTTTATAACCCAACTACCTTACTGGAATGCTAACTGATTTGTATGGCATTCCATGCAAAGTTTGCAGGATAAACAGTTTACAACAGTTTACAACAGTTGACAATAGATCCAATGAACACTTAACAAAATAAGAAAACATGGAATGGTTCCATGACTTATGAAACGCAGTTTTTAATGAACATATGATAATTGTTTTCATTCACCCAAAACCGTTCAAGACCAAATTAAATATTTAGGGAAAAGAAATTGAAAAACCAAGCAAAGACAAAAACATCGGCCATACTTTCCATACAGAAATTGGTTAAGTTATACTTCGAAATTTGGTCTACAAGCAATGACGTACTTTTATGAATATATTTTCAATAAACAACACTATTCAAATGCGTATTTATTTATTTTTAATCTTAGAAACATACGATGCTTGTCTTTTATTCTATTCAATATTTATCAGCATATTTTTTTCTATTACCTTATTATTATAATAATTATTTAAGGTGATGTATGGGTGGGTATATTACTATTCTATTGCATTTTTGTTGCTGGTTTTTTTGTTGTTGTTGTTGCTGCTGCTGCTGATGTTGTTGTTGTTACTACTGTTGCTACTGTTGCTACTGTTGCTACTGTTGCTACTGTTGCTACTGTTGCTGCTACTGTTTCGGCTGTTGTAGCTACTGCTGTTGTTGTTGCTGCTGTTCGTTGCTGCTGCTTTTGCTTTTGCTGTTGCTGTTGCTGTTGCTGTTGCTGTTGC